GCAAAGTTTTTTGGAAAGAAATGAACTCCCGCAACAAAATATTCAAATTAATTATAGGTCCATTTCAAAAAAAAGTGATTTCAGGCAATCAATTGAAAATTGCAAGTGTAACTGAAGTGGACAACTCGATCCTTACAACTTATTGCCACTAGATACAGTCATTCAGTTTAGCATAACTTTTCAGAAATCCCTTCAGTGTGCATTTGAAATTGGATAAGGAATGAATTTTTTTCAGAGTCGAGTGTTAAAAAAAAAACGATCGAACAGTCGCAGTTACTCATCGAGCCTGATCCACCTGATGGCTCAGTTTTGATGTAGTCTCAAGTGAATAGTTTATAAGTTCAATTTTTGCCGACGTTACACTTAGACGATGATAAATAAATGTGGAATGAATCCATAAATAGACAAAAAACTAGTACAAAATATTAACCCGAAACAAAACGAAGTAAGTACCACTCGCTGAACAAATGTGAGAAAGAAGTGAATAAATATAAAGACTGAAGTAAATTCGACGAAAAGCCTTTCAGAAAGAATCAAATAGCAACTACGTAAATTGAATTTTATTTCCTCTGATGTGAACAAACGTCTCAAAATAAACCAAATAAAAATACGACAAAAAGAGAAGCGAACTGATATGCTGTAAGTATTGACTTTATATGATTTCACAACCAATTTTGCAACCTAGTGTTGAAAATAAATAACATTTGAAAATGAGGCACATGTGTTATGATAACAACTGATAAGCAATCAGTGTCAAATGCATCAGCAGCACCAACCGTCCTCAGCGTGCAGTTTATCGACTTCGTTCGCCTTCAACAGAAGTCTTTCCTCTTTCAGTGCACGCTCTTCATCTGACTGCACGTGCATTGGCTTGGACTGTTGCAACTTATGCACTAATGTCATGAATATCGACTCGACATGATCCGATTCCGAATCTGATAACGCTGATGTTTCGAATAGTGCCATGTCGTTCTGATCGGCAAATATCTGAAATATCTATTCTGCAACCAAACCAACTCAATGCTTCAGTCTTCCGGATGGAATAAACACTCATAAAATTCATTTCGACAATATAAAGCAAACTCAAACTCATTAAATAAGGGATCAAAATCGCGTATTGTCTAATGGCAGATACAATTACAAGGAATACAAGATCGATTAGAATGATGATTACCACGATAGCAATAAAATGGTGGAAATCATAATGATAGGCAATAAATAGTTCTCATGAGAGTAGTAATTAGGAATGCAAAAACGAACCTGTGCATAATCGGTTTTGACCCTATTTGATGGGTTCAAATCACACTTATTGCCGATGATAATGTGAGGTGTATCTTTGGAAGAGGACACCGAGTGATTACGACACTCGGATATCCAAGTTGCTAACGATTCAAATGACTTTTCATTGCTTACATCATAGACAAACACGACCGCATTTACATTACGATAATAATGTGACACCATCGACTGACGATAACGCTCCTGACCGGCCGTATCCCACAGTTGCACCTTTATTTGCATTATTTATAGTGAATGCAGTAATAATTATTGAGACAATCAGACGGAATCGAAGTGGATATTAAAAGATTCACCCTAATCAATTCGCCATCAATAACCACAGAACGCTCACGGAAATCGACACCAATTGTAGCTTCAGTCTGTGCAGGAAATCGACCATTGCAAAAACGAAAACTTAAGCACGTCTTGCCGACACCTGCATCACCCAAGATAATCACCTGAATACAATTCGTTGATGATTTTAATTGAAAAACATTTTGAGAATATTTATTCGGGTTAGTTCCTGGGCATAAATCAGAACGAATATATACTGCCAAATGGAAACTCTATAAATTATTTTAAAAAATCAGTCAGGTGGATTTAAATGAAGCATATAATCTGAACCACATAATTCTCATCCAACAATTAAGGTGACACCTTAATTGTCATTCGGAAGACACTAGCAACTTCAATACGAGCGCATATTCCTTTCAGCAAGATTTCCTAATCATGATCTAACTATTCATGAGTCGCATAACTGGGTTGAGCAATAAGGAGAATAGATCAGGACATATGAAATTTGAAGAGATGAAATGGTGAAATTTACTTTGAAAACACGTTTTGTTTTAAATGGTTTAGTGATGGAGTTCGCTGAAGTGGCAGATGATGTATGTTGTACCGGTGAGTGGTGTGTTACTGGATTGCTTGTGGTACTGCTTGGATACGGTATACGAGCTATGTTTGACGGCACTTCTGCAATGTTATCATGCTACAATAAAGATTTCTTGGCAGTAAATTTTGTCACTACATCTACGGCCTTCATTCACTCTGAACAAGTGGACAATTTCATCGATAATACAGCGAGAGCAAACTGCAGTTGATTCTATCTGTTAGAAGAACCTGAACAACATGAATCTCTGCATTATGGAAGACATGCCTTTCTAATGGTCTTGAAAACAGTAAAATTATACTTTCCACAGCTCTTTCCTTATGATCGCAAGAATGTTTTTAAATGATTTTTTCAATAGAATATATGTATAGATCACATTTGATCGACGAGACATAATCCTTTAAAAAAATACCCTGACTGGATGGAGAGTTCGACGGATTGAATGAAAAATTTTGATCTGATAAAGAAGTTTGTGGTAGAACATGTGTTTGAATGGTGGTTACTTGAGGAGCGTGCACAATCGGAATATGCTGCCTTTGTTGTTGAGATGGTTGTTGTTGTTGTTGTTGGTTTTGCTGCTCGGAGTACATCACTGATCTTACTTTACAAGTCTCATATACTTTTCACACACAAACACGACTGAGTGCGTTCAAGAATTTGTTGTACAGTTGGCAATCATCAAAAACGGCTGCAGATGTGATGTTCTAAGTTGCCACAACGTTGCATTAACTTCCCATTCAATTGCCCATTGATATGATGGCATCCATACGAAATTTCAGTTGGCTTGAAATCTAACCGAATTCATATTCTGAGATTACGACATCCGAAATTCCAGTTGATTTCGGAAATCTTTGGTTGGAATTCAAATGTCGTAACCCCGATCGAAAATTTTCGGATTTTTTCGATCGAACGTCGGTCGGATGCCATCACTACTTATTGAGTGAACAATTCACGGTAATGATTGAGATGCAGTGAATTGTTCGAGATGCATTCATCGGTTTACGTACGTCACAGCGATTTACATTCCATTGTAACCGAATTGAGCTAGGATATGATTTGCCTTGTATGTAATTATGTATTCATGATATATATTCATTTAACATCGTTTTAATGATGTTATGTCTGGAATGCAAGGGTGGACATGTGGTTCTGTGATAGGTTCTAATCATGGCTGTTCTTTAGTGAGCTTACGCGGACTGAGAGGACAGCGATACGGATAGCAGTGTTCAGAAACTGAGCATATTGCTAAGTGGAGATCATGCGATAAATCGTGTTGCAGAGAATATGAGACAGTATATTTGGCTGAACAATTTAGGTGCACATCCAGTGCAAGTTGCTCGATGGAGAACGATTCAAAGATTGTCTCAAGGAAGCGGATCACCGTAAAACCGCTATAAGCACATCAGCTGTGGAGATCTCCAATGATGAACGTTCTAATTACGACGTGATATGAATGTACTTTTTGTGTTTTACTGTTAATGTTGATTATTTACTCGTATGCATGTAAACAGCAATCGTTGCTTGGAAAAATTTGCCTATGAATCGGATTGTTTCTTGGATATTAGTTATGCAACCAATCATGAGTTAACTTCTACAATTGTTAAGCGAATAATTGAGCGAATTTTTTTTTGCTTTCGAAAATCACACGAAAGATGAATATTACGTGTAATACAAAGTATAACAGGTGTCTGCATTTCTCGGAATACAATGTACCGCAGTTGATGGGCGAAGGTAATGTCACCGCAAAATTTTAAGTTTTTATTATGCTATATTCACCTTGTAGACGATATCCACTTCTGAACCAGCTATAATCAAACACAATGAAATGCGTTCTGAAATACTGTTACAAGAAGCACACCTTCCGCGCAGCTTAATAGTTAGATTGAAGCATTCAAATAATAATCGCAGATAACTCCCGCGATCACACCACCAGTGAAGGCTTATAAAGGAGTAGGAGCATTTCATCTTTCATTTCAAGCATGAAAAGATTTACTTATCGACGTTTATGAAGAGGAGAGTGCGCAACAAAATAATGCAATGCGCAACAAAATAATGCAAAATTGCATGAGAAAAACGCCAAATAGTTTATTATCTACTAAGAATACCGAACAATAAATTCAACAAGGTTGACTGAGCCAAATACGAGTTC